TAGGATTTCTGAAAGTTGAAGGCCAAAACATCTGCGGACCCACAGGTTGAGAACCACTGCTCTAGCAGATAGTCCTTGACCTTCTGGAAATAAACATTCACAATCACATGAGGCTTTGATTTGTACTAAGAAGGAAGAATCAGTTATATAGTCATCCCCTGCTTTTGAAATTTAAATGGATCAGTCCCAGCTTCCAACAGAGGAGGAAGGTCATGCCTCCTACCACCATCTCCTTTATTAGAATGAATTATGTAAAAGTACTACAGTCCTTTTACATAATTATCTTTGTCACAGTGTTAAGTTTGCAATTTTTCCCAACACTAGAAACACGCAGCAGACATTTTGCGAAGGGTCAAAATGTCTGCAAAACATTGGGAGTGGGGAGAAACCCTCCACTTTTGTTTCATGGCTAAAATTTGTACATATTTCCTAATTTTCAAAGCCCATCCCTTTTAAATCTTTATGTGTCCTTCTTGAGAGTATATTCAACTTTTTAAATGACATGATACAATAAAGCAACATATGTGAAAGAAATATGTCTATTTCACAAAAATTAAATATAACTGAAATTAAAAATAACTCAAGACAATGTGTAGCTTTCAAATGTATCAGTAGACAGACTTTATTTATGCATTTCACTGACATGAGATTTCCTTTACAAAACAGTGTGGGAATTTTGGAAAAGAGAAGATCTTTTCACTAGTTGGATTGGATGTAGGGGAGAAAAGGAGTATCAACAAAGCTCATCCTATCGCTATTTACATATCTATTTATTTAAAATAATTATAAGTTACTCTTCTTAACCCCTCCCCCCAAATATTCACAGGATATGCAACATTAAGAATACATAAAACAACTCCCCCCCCCAAAAAAAAATCAAATCTTTAAAACAAGGATGGGGTTCATCTCCGTCTCTTGTTTGAATCTTTAAAAACTTTTGAATCCATTTAGTGCCTCTTTTCAATGGGAACACCTGTTAATAAATTACTCCAAGATCAAGGTAATGGCTTTTGGCAGAAATTGCCCAGGGCATATATGGACATTAGATCAACACACCATAGAACACACCTATTCAGATACCTGGGCATTGTTTCCAGTGAAAATGTTAGGAGTTCTGGCAGAGACTGTAAGTAAAAGACTGAACATAGAAGACGAAAGGATAGATATACAAGGGTTACATTCTTTTGGGTGTACAAACAAAGTACACCAAATACAGCATACCATGTTCCGTTGGGTGGTTCAAATCCAGCAAGCGGAGTGAGCCCCCGTCTGTCAGCTCCATCTTCCCATGAGGGGACATAAAAGAAGCCTCCCACAGGATGGTAAAACATTTTGGCATCCCCTGGGCAACATCATTACAGATTGTAGGGATTTGTAAAAAGACACCATGATGTAATGGGTTGACTGGAAAGACGTGTATTGGCAGCTGATTGGCTGAGCATGCTGGGGGCCAGAGTTTTGATTGGCTATTGTCTCTGGCTTGCTGCTGAGACAAACGGTTTTAACTGCCACTTTCACCTTGAAAAGTGCAGAGAGTGCTGACTGAAAATAGCCAAGAAGGAAATGGGTGCCAACTCTCTTAAACCTGATCATTTTTAAGGCATGATGCATATTTTAAAGACTGCTTAAAAGGACAGTTGATTCCCTCTGTTCTCTATGTGAAGTCAGAGACACTGCTGTATATATTGTTGCCCTTTTACTTTTGAACTGAAGTAAAGTTACTGTTACTTGTTACACAAGCCGAGTGACACTTTATTATACTACAGGGTATATTTTGCTTCAGAAACTGTGGTAAAGCTTCTGTTTATTTACATTTACATCCTCCCACACAGATGGCTAATTCTTTCACACCAGAAGTGATTTGCAGTTTCTTAAGTCGCTCCTGATATGGAAATAAAACATATAAACTTCAGGCTACACAAAAGTCTTTCTACTATTTGGTCCATGAGTCAATCACACTATCCAAAACACATAATGAGCTCTACAGTCAAAGGGAAAATTCAATGTCAAAACACTGGCACCACTTATAAATAATAAAATTCTGGTACTCTTTTGCACGCTGCTCTCGCCACCAATTGCAAGCCTATTAATATCTTATGTATTCCACCCATTGCCTTACTTTTATTCTCCAGGAAAACTAACCCACTAAAGAAAACTCTTACAAAGAAAGCAATTATTTCTCCCCTTTAACTCCACTTTTGAATAATCATAAGAAACACAGCAGTATAAGATTGTTTTCACACCAAATAGGTGTCAGTCTGCTAAGAGTGTATAATGTAGACATGAAGTATAACATATCACAAGTGGTTTATGGATTCATGATGGTTTGACTGCCAATATTTGAAGAGGTGTAGTCCAGTGATAAAATATCAGCATGAAGTCTGTCTTGGAAGCAGGAATCTTCACTGAGGAAATCTATAAAGACTATCCAATTTGTGATGAACTTGTCACTTTTGTTAAGTTCCTGTGATTTTCTTATTTTTGACTAGAGTATTTCTAGCAACCATGTATTCCAAATTCTGGCCCACCATTCATTCATGGATAGATCGCCTGTTCTGCAGTGCTTGGCCTTAATTCTCCAGTTGATTGTTTGTATACCTAATAGATCATACTATTCCAAAAGTGGAGCATGTAGAGCTTGTGTGCTGCACAAGTTATGCATGTTCCACTTTTCCCAAAGGCTTTTGGAGGCCTCTATGCCCACCCCAATTTTTGAATAATTTATTAAAAAAAAATTTTTGACTGAAAATTCCTTACCAGGACATCTAGAGTGTGTGCAAGTCAGTCTCAATATGTTTTGAAAAATTTTCCTCAGGCAATTTTAGGAATAGCAGATATCTTTTGTTAAACATAAGCAACTGATTTAACTGTGTTTATTTTAAAAAACTTCCAAAGGGCCACATAGCACTGATGTTCATTAGAAGACAGTAGTGCGAAATTTTGCCACCGCAAATAAAAGAAGATTAAGGGAACAGGAGGTAGAATCAAAGTGAGGGTTGTGCAGATATCCCTAAGAGCCAATGTTATCTCCCAAAACCTGGAAGATGCCCACCCCTGGTACCTTTCTCCATGTGTCTTCCAGTCAGCTGCCAACATATGGTGATCCCATGAATTTAATGGGTTTTCTTGAACAAATAATTTTCCAGATTGTTAATTTCCCACAGCCAGCTTTCAACCCAGCACATTCCTACCTGCCCCATGTTCCTTTTGCTCTCAAGATTGGTACTCATAAAAATTGGCTTAGAAATACCTATCAAGATATTGCCAGATTTTATTATTGCCCTCCTTTATCCATAGCAAAATCTACTTTGAAGGCCGGGATTAATTATCAATGTTTAATTTATAACCATTGCAACTCACAGGACTTTAGGAAGAGTGAGGCAGCTGCTTCAAACAGCAACTTGTTAGATATCATATCATTATGATAAGAAAACTAATTGCTTGCTATTTTACATATCATTATTATATTTGTACTGTCAGAGAAGGACAGATAGAGAAGGCTGAAAGGAAACATGATGTCTATGTATATGTGATGAGAAGTCATAGGGAGGAAGGAGCAAGCTTGATGGAGTTGGACTGGATGGCCCAGGAGGTCTCTTCCAACTCTATGATTTTAAGAAACACTTGTGATTTTTTTACATTTCATGTCCTGAAGTAACTGAGCATACTGGAAGAGCAATTCTACTTGAATTGGTAGGTTCATACCCTTTTCTACTCCAAAATGTGAACCTCTGATAAATATGTGGGCCAAAACATGTGGTATCCCAGATCACACAGACAGCCAAAATATTTTTCACTTTGATCTGGAATTTAATATGGAGGAGAGGAAGCCTGAAATACAACTCATTTTTATCTCCACATTTACCAATGTGGTTTATTTATGTGCCTGAGAACCCTCAGATGTGTATCCAACTCTTGTGTTCCTCTATCACATTATGAGCAGCCTCTTGGTTTTCACCATTACTTCTTTATTTTTTCTACTCGCAAACCGTTCCAAAGAACTTGACAAATACTTTCCAATCCTATAACATTGATTATGGGAATGCTCTTCTTGCAACAAACTATCTTTAGCCATAGTTTCATAGCTTTTAGTTTTACGATAAATATTTTTGCCCACTTTGGCAATTCCTAGCACTTTATCTAGTAACTCTAGATAAATGACTTCTGATAACTTTCCTCCTGTACATGTAAATACCACACACATAGACGAAGATAGCTCATAACAATATAGAACAGGCATGGGGAAAATTCGGCCCTCCAGGTGTTTTGAACTTCAACTTCCACATTTCCTAACAACCTACTGGCTGGGTTGTTGTAGGTTTTTTGGGCTATATGGCCATGTTCTAGAAGCATTCTCTCCTGACGTTTTGCCTGCATCTATGACCGGCATCCTCAGAGGTTGTGAGGTCTACTGGCTGTTGGGAATTGTGAGAGTTGAAGTCCAAAACACCTGGAGGGCTGAAGTTTGCCCATTCCTGATACAGAAAGATGTTCTCTACAAATTTCCCTTTGTGTAAAGTTATTCTCCTATTGACTTTTGTACTTTTAAGAACTCTGATCCTAAAATCTAAATGCAGTCAATGCAATTATAAAGAAGGCAAGACAGCTCTGTCAACATGGATGTAGAACACTTTTTTCTATCCATCAGCTAGGGACAGATCAGAATAGGAAACAACTGCCATCAATACCATTTTCTGACACTATACTTCTAACGGGTTTCAAATGTCATGTCAGCGACAGGGAACACCTTAATTTCAAGACAGTAATTTAATGGAAAAACCACATGCTAAAATTACATGCTGTGCAAAAGTTAGGTTACAAAGTTTAGTTTATTATTTCTACTTAGACTGACCTATAAAATTTAAACATAGTTTGACAGCTGTATACATAATAGCTTCAAGGTGTTAAATTCATGTAAAATTTGACATTTCATACTTTAAAACATCTAAATCCAATTTGAAAATACTGGCCATTAATTGTAAATGATTGAGTATACTTACCCACTTGAAGAAGATGCTATAGGCTGCAAAGAAAAAGAGAGGAGTTTTAAAAGATTGTAATTCTATTCATTAAAAATGAATTTTATTATGGGTTTAAATTCAGTTATATGTTGGAGCCTTATATCTTGTGTCCAACCAAGATTTCATGTGAAATATTAGTTACACATCACTTTAATTATTTGTGTGAAAACTTGGCTGGATACAGTTTGTTGTTGTTCTTATAGACCTTCAAGTTGGTACCAACTTACGGTGCTGCTATTGTATGATTTTCTTGATTTATTTAGAGGAGGGTTGCCACTACTTTCCTCTAAAGATAAAAGTGGGATTTCCCCAAGGTCATCCAGTTTCTATGGTTGAGTGATTATACAAACTCTGGTTTCCCAGACCCCAAGACCATACTCAAACCAGCATTGAACTAGCTCTCTGGGCACAGTAATACTACCCAATTACAAAAAAAAAAAAAAAAAAAAAAAAAACTAGAAACAAAACAAGCTGAATAGATAAAAGAACACCACAATCAGCTCTACCATTAAACATCATGGAAAACGATAAAACCATAAGATAATTAGAATAAATGATAAATATCGTTAAAGTTTAAAAGTTCCCCTCCTTCTTCCTGGTAATGCCAGCGCTTTTGCTATTAGTCCGGGGCACCCACAGTGGCTGAGAGCTCTCATGGAGCGTTGTGGCCATCTGCAATAGCAACGGTGATGGTAAGGTGATGGTCCAACTAGGCTGAAGTGTTCTTAGACTTATAAGACCATGTAAATAACAGAGTACATGTCTGCCTCTAGACTGGCCTTACAATAAGTGGCCATTGTTAATAAGACCTTAGATATTCCACTTCCTAAAGAGGTTGATCTGTCAGCAAAGAAATCCTACAATAGAAGCAACATCAAGGAACATGCTCACAGATAGGAACCAGCTTTAATGAGAAGAAAGAGGAAGGTGTTGAATTACAACCACTTTATTAATCCTGCACTAGGCATTCAAAATGATTGTGTGCCTTTTAATTGCTAGATATAATCCAGTCCCCTGAACATACCCCGTAACTTGAGAGTCTCCCTAACTTGAGGCTGATTGTGCTATCAGTTATAGTTATGGTTGGACATGTTTGTTGTTTATAAATTAAAACCAGCATCATCACGGACAACTCTTGCATGCCATTCATAATACTGTTTATTATGAATTGTAATTTTTATGGTATTTATGCTGTTAGCATCCTCTGATGCTCATGTGAGGCCGGCCGCGCTGAGTCCCCCTTGTGGGGAGAAGGGCGGGATATAAATATATGAAATAAATAAATAATACTGTTGAAATGTATGATTTTATGCATAAGTAGTAAAGATTGTTCAATTGTTTGTTCCTACCATCTCACAATATTATGCTAGTGTCCGGGTCCCTAGTGAAGTGATGGACAGTATTACAGTTGATTAAAGCTAACTGCCTATTACAGGAGACCCACAAGCATAGAACTAACTAGAATGTATTATCTTTTAGATGCTTGCACAAACAATTCTGTGCAGGTGGATCATCCAAGGCAGGATGATCAGTGTTCCTTCTGGCTGTGGATTTACCCTTTGAAGACATTGGGACCCTTTGGGACCCAGATGGATGATTTCTGTGTGTTAAGATCATCTTAGGGCCCTTCCACACAGCCATATAACCCAGAACATCGGCATATAATCTAAAATATCTGCTTTGAACTGTGCTTTCTGAGACCACAATGTCATAAAACAGAGTTCAAAGCAGATAATGTTGGATTTTATACACCTGTGTGGAAGGAGCCATAATAGGCAAATTGTTCACAATTTGTTCACCATGCAGAATTATTTTTTTTTACATAAACACAGTTTAGGAATGTAAGGATATCCAGTTTTTACATAACTGCTGATGTAATTAATAATGGTGAAGCCATATGTTCTCATAATATTCAAATCAAATTAATAAATTTGAAGCTTTCATGGTTACAATAATTCCAAATAAGCTCATTTGCAAATACATGTTAGACATCATGGGTCTCCACAACCATTCAATTTAAAATATTTCTATGAAATATGGTCTTAGAGAATGGTTTCCCTACATTCTAAGATTATCGCGGACATAAGCTCTACTTATTCTATCTCCCCCATAAACCTGGAATGCACATTAACACTACAGCATAGATTGCACCTAATGTTTACTCCTTGTTATGGAGGTGATGTAGTTTCGGCTTGCATCAGAACTTGGGACTCTTTCGCACCGCATAATTATATCACTATAATTCCATTTAACTGCTATTGTTCCAGTGTATGAAATCCTGGGATTGGAAATTTCAGTAAATAAAAGTATCTCCTTGAGAGCGATGGACCTTCTCTACACTACAAATTCCAAGATTCCATCAGCTATTGCAACAAAATAAAATTACGATGCTATACTTTTGTAGCATAAATGGCCTTCTGATTAAGGTACACATTTAATAAAAAGCATTTAAAGCATATTGTGTTCATTTTACTTTTCAATCAGACTATTGAGAAAATAGATCAAGAAATTAGGTCACATAGCACAGCAGAGGGAGAGAGATATAAATCTAAACACAGCATAGTTATTTCATAATCGGCAGCCATCTACTTATTTTGTGCTGAATTCTAGAGAGAATGTTATCCCTTTTGGAAAGCATTGTACTGTGCAGTATCTGATGAAATCATTTCAGTTGATTATGTCGCACATCAAAAGCCACATAACTAAACTCATTTAACACTCATTCTGCATTATGAAGATTAACACATTGCAAATAGTTCCAGTAACCAACCAAATTCAATAAAACTAATTAGTTTTTTTCCCCTGCACTCTAACACAGCTGCCCTCATTTCCTGCTGCATTCTTTTCACTCCTAACACTCTCTCCTCCCTTTCCCAAATCCCTCAGTCTCTGACCTTCAATTTGAAGGTGCAAATGGCCAACGCAAGCAATTACAGAGGCGATTTTGCAGACCATTACACCAGACCAAACCATTTAGGTACAATCACACAATTACTGTTGATTGAAACTCTGAAATATGAACACAAGTACACAGTATTTTCTGGAAGACAAATATTTACAGATATGTGACTCTAGATCAATATTGGAAGCTAAAAGAAAAGGCTAATCTAAAGTTTCAATATTGCCTTTCCTATTAACACATAGAGAATGTCTTTCCCTCCGAAAAAGTTTGGAAACAAATGTGGGAAATATCTTTCATGAACAAGTCTGGTTCCTACTGTAGTGCGAACTAAACCTGCACAAGCCTGGATTCGATTGTAGTCTGTATAAGCAACTATTAGTGACTCAATATTTATATAAAACCCATTGATTCAGTGTCTTTACTATAGTTGGGAAGAAGAAGACGAAGGCGAAGAAGGAAAAGAAGAAGGAGGAGGAGGAGGCGGAGGCGGCAGCTCTGGCATAAACCAGTACAGGTGATCCGAGTGGTCATTGGCACACTGGGTGCTGTGCCAGAAGATCTAAGCCGGCATTTGGAAACAATAAACATCAACAAAATCATGATCTGTCAACTGCAAAAGGCCACCTTACTTGGATCTGCGCGCATCATTCAAAAATATATCACACAGTCCTAGACGCTTGGGAAGTGTTCAACTTGTCATTTTGTGATACGAAATCCAGCATATAGATCTCGTGTGCTGTGACATACTGTGTTTCTGTGTCAGTAAAATAATAATAATAATTTATTTGCATACTGCCCTTTCTCCCTGAAAGGACTCAGGGTGGTTTCTAACATATAAGGCAAGCATTCAATAGCCAGAAAGAAAACCATACAGACAAATTACAACAAGGCAAACACATAGTATGAAAAAACAACCTAATTTAACTTAATAAACAAAATAACAAAAAAAAATCATAAAATACAAAATACCTACTAAAACACACTAAAAATAAAAATGTAAAAGCTCATTGCATTATAGCTCCATCAGTTGAGGTAGTGTTGTGAGTCAGCATTCTGACACCATACCTACTAGTAGTAGGAGGAGAAGAAGAAGGAGTGATGCAGAAACAGAGGAGCAATCCAATGGCCAGAAATACAAAATGGACGTGGCCAACTATAAAAGGGCTGGGCAAGGGATAGAGCAAACAGTGTGTCATAGGGCTGAGGAAGTGGATAAAGTGCAGAACAAAGTACTATCTGGGGACCTAGGGACTAGGGCTAGAGACTAATCATTCTCAAAAACTTGTGTATATAATAATTGTATATAGTGCAATTAAAAACGTTGTATACAACCCTGTAATACAGAGGTTGTCAAACGTTTTCAGCCGCGGAACCCTTTTTGAAGAAAAAGTTTGTTGAGGAGTCCCAATAAATGTTTATATTATTATATTAATCAGACATGGACATACTCTTTGACCAACTTAATGTAACAGTATTTCAGGGGGATACCCCAGAGAGCATCCAGCCCAACTCCCTTCTGCCGTGCAGGAAAATCAAAGCACCCCTTGAGCGGTAGGAGGGAAATAAGGTTTTGGAAGCAAGGAGAGCAAGGGGGAAAGGATCTGGGTGGTGAGGAAGGTCCAGAAAAAAGGCTTTTGGTGATGTGTGTGTGGAGGGGGGGAGGTTTTTAGGGGTGTGGGAGGTGAGGAAAAAGGCTTTTGGGTGGAAGGGGGCTGAGGGGGAAAGACTTTTGACAACAAGGGAGGCAGGGAGAGGGGAGGTGCAGGAAAGAGGAGGAAAAGTTTGGAGGAGGAAGAAGAGGATGAAACTGTGGAGCCCCCAGTATGCTTCACGGATTCCCAAGGGCTCCCCGGAGTACACTTTGAGAACCCCTGCTCTAATAAATGAAATTGAGATTTTATAATGTTCACATCAATTGACACTATTCAGAAATTAAAATATTATATTTGAGAATGCAGAAATAATGATTGATTATAGGATTTGTTTTTTTAGGCACTAGTTTTACATGAAATCTTAAATATTACGAGATATATGATATGTCAGTAATTGATTGCTGTAAGGATAGCAATTTATCATATAATAAAAATGATTTGGCTCTTT